CATTCACTATTTGTACATTTGACTGCCTGTTGCCTTGGTGGCTGGAAATTTCTCCCAGCTGCTGCTAGGTGGGTGGGTCTCCTAACCTCATCCCCACCTCCATTTTTCTGGCAGCTGCTCAAGTTTTCTGGATTGCACTGGTGACAGTGATCATCATAAGAGCTCCAATTCCACTCTGGTTATTTTTGGCAGTTGTGAGCAATCCAAGGCCTTGACTTTGGCTCACATGTGGTTCGGATGTTTGGTAACCTTTTCCCGTGCAAGTACAGACAGGGGAGAGTCTTGACCTGCATCCATCCATCCATCCGGAGTTTTCATGTCTTTCTGTTTTTCCTTGTTGAGAACCTTAGCAAATGTACAAGGAACCCTCTCTTCGACATAGCACTTTGTTTCTAATAAAAAAAAAACGGCTGCGAAGAAGGTTGAATACTTATTGAGTGTCTATTGTTTTTCTTTTTCTAGATTGAAAACATAGATGCCTGCTTGAATTTCCTGGCAGCTAAGGGAATAAACATCCAGGGGCTGTCTGCAGAAGGTGAGTCAGTGCTTGTCATGAAGCTGCCTTTTTGTCATTAGAAATGCCCACCTATTACTTACTGATGACGTGAATACAGTTAAGACAAGACGTGCTGGTGGGCTCTTTTTTTTTTTTTTTTTCCCTTCTGGTTTTGAGGCTTTGAGGCAGCTCAGTGCTTGTCTAGACTTGAGGATGCCACCTTTTTGACAACCTAAAGAATCACTCCAAGAATGCATATTCAGCCATGCTGGCCATATCTGTAAGACACTGAGTGAATAGTGAAGACGACAGCTTCTCTCTGAGAATGGCTTACTCAAACAATGCTGATTTTATTTACCTGACTAGCAATTCAGTTAATTATCAAGCCAGGCCTTATCTGGCTGGAGAGAGAACACTTAACTGCAGAACATCTTAAAACTACAGTTCTCAGGGAGAAATGCCTACACTTTATCTCTTTTATTAGAAGTAGTACTTTTCCTAGCTTAAAAAAATAAAATAAAAGCACTTGATTTATTAATGAGATGCTACATTTTGACATCCTGATTAGTTGTTAATTAACTCAAATTTGGTGGCTAATTAGCACATTAGCGTTTGCTGGTGGTTTGCTGTTCAATTGGGTATGGTCTGGAGATGACTGGTCCGAATTCTCAGCCTCCTCAGGCAACATCATGCTCTGGAAACATTCACTCTCTCTCCTATTTGTAAACACAAGCAGCTGCCAGCTCCAAAGCTGCCATAGGCCCCGGCATCCTCCCAAACTCATTAGGCTGCACCTGCCTCCACTTTTCCCAGAACAGGTAAAGCAGTTTGGGCTTCAGATGACACCACCTTTCCCTAGCGAGGTTTGTGCTTTGAAAAGATGCCTGTTAGCATCGACTTTGGTGGCTGGGGTTGGGAGGAGGGGAGCACTGAGGAAGGAAGCAGCCCAATGGAACAGGTAAGTTTGCAGAGGTGATGGATTCCATCTGGGGCCCGTTCTTCGCCTCTGTTCTATGATGCAGTGAAAGCTTGCTTTTCCTGCCTGTATTTCTGAACTGCAGTCTCTTCCAGTGTTGGGGGGCAGGTGGTGACTCCTGGGGCCTCGTGGGTGTGTCGTGTCTCTGAGTGGGACTGTTGGAATTCCCCAAGTGGAAACTCATATGTGCTGGGCTTATTCCAGGTCAGGCATGGTCACACTGCTTCCAGAGGCCTCTGAAGCAGCTGCTGGGTGACAAGTCTTAATCCAAGCTCTGTGAGAAGGGTCCTTCGTGATTCCTTTGCCCTGAGGTGTGAACCCTTCTCCATGGGGGTGAGGTCAGAGTGGATTGACTTGTGGCGTGCACATTGCTGGGAAATGAGGTGCTTGGTGGTGGCGTTGCCATGGGTAGGTAGGGAAATGCAAATTTCCATTCCGAGGAACACATTATTTCCTTCTGGTGGAGAGCGCTTGTGATGGCCTGTAGGCGGCGGGCACATGCTCCTCCTAGTTTCTGGGAGTGATTGGACTCCGGGCTTGTGCCCCTTGGCAGAGCATCAGCAGGGACAGAGGCTTGCTCAGCGGAAAGGGCTCTGTGGAATGTCGACTCTGTAGGCCAACTTCTGTCTCATGTGGCTTGGGGGGAACTCCTGGCCACTCAGCCATCTATCTAATCTTTGCCCTGCTTTTTGCCTTGTTATTCTCCATCTCCCCTACCCCTCTACCTGCCTCAGGCATAGAGAATCTACTCAATAAATATTTGTTGAATGAATAAGTATCAGCTGTGCTTTTAAGGCTTTATGTATATCAGTTACAGTTCTCACAACTGAAGTTGGAATTTATAACAGGCTGAGTTTACAGAGGAGGAAACATTGGCTTAAAGAGGTTATGCGTGACATCTCCAAGGCCTGTAGCTAGTGAGTGGCAGAGTCAGGATTTGAACCCAGGTCTATGTGATTTTAGAGCTCTTGTTCATGCTGTCTTGGGACAGCAGATGAGTAAAAATCTAGGCATGCCATGTGCAGGTAGAAGAAGTCAGAAAAGATTGAGAACTCTGTTAGCTGGGCCACTGTGTCAGAAAGTGTTATGCAGCCCACGAAGGCATGTAATGCAGACACTTGGCCACCATTCCCCAGATCCTCGTTGATTCTAGGATGTGACCCTGTGAGCCCCTGAGCATAGAGGAGCATACATGTAACAAGTGTGTTGAGGTATCAGAAACCGGGGTGTTACTGTGAAGTAGGTTTATAGTATTTCAGTAATTGCTCCCAACTGTGCTATGTTGACCCCCTTCCTCCCCACCCCCCACTCTTTTCTGCTGGGTCAAAACTCACTTAATGATATCTTGGCCAGCACTTAAAACTCTTAAGTTGTAGTCATTATTAGAACAGTTTTGTGTCAGTACTTACGACTCAGTCATGTTCATTTTTAAACTTCGATCTCAGACTCTACTCAAAGCTCTTTTCCCCCATGCCCCCCAGTGCAAGTGACTTTCGAAGGTAATGGGTAGTCGAGGGCACGATAACGTGACTTCCTTTCCCTTTCCTTGTCCCTGTGCTCGAACCTCCAGGACTGGGGCAGCACAGAAGAAGCAGAATGCGGCTGATGGCGAAGTTGCTATCCTCCTCTTGGGTAATTGCCACTGTCCCCGTGTGGGGGTCTCTGCATGCCCTATTGACCAGGGACTCACTCCCATGCTGCTCCCAGGGCCTTGGTAGTCTTCTGTGGGATTTGACCAGTTCTTCCAGCTCACTCCCAGCTAGTAGCATTCATGTCCCATCCCCCTGATTCAGGTCCTTCTTTGTCCACACACTAAGGTGGTCCCGATAAGGCTGTAGACCTCAGTCTCATGATCCTTCCATTATCTACTGTAGAACCAGCACAAAAATGTGCGCTCCATCTTCTGCTTGCAGAAGGTAAAATAGGCTTCCCATCAGCTGGAAGTCCCCCACCATACAATCTCTCTTCAGCTATTCTCCCCTCATTCACATGGCCAGGAAGCAGATCCGCCAACTCTCTGCTAAGCAGGTGTCCAACTGCGGGGACTGGAATGCCAGCACCCCCACTTGGATGGAATCTCTTAGAGCCTCCCTGCCTTCAACTTCAAGGAGTACAGGGACCCTACCTTCATTATCCTTGGTGAGGGAGGAAGTATATCCTGTCTCTGTGATCATCAAATATTATTACGCTCCCCCACCCTCAGTGACATTTTCTCATCTAGATCTTCTTACATTGATTTTTTTTGGTGGAGGGAAATGAGGAATGATGATGATGATGTTTGTTAGTAAGACCGATTCTGAACTGGTACCATCTAATTGGATGGCGACTGGCCCCGACCTTTGTTAACTACTTGAACTTGTAAAGCAAGGGTACTTAGAGCCTTTTATCCTCATAAAATAGAGTCTTATAGAATAAGCCTTATTCACAATTTCAGGGTTACAGCAATCTCACTTGACATACTGTTAAATTATAGGGATAGAACCCATTTATTGAGAGCTCACCACGTGTCAGTCACTAATCTAAGTGCTGTACACATTTTATATCTCATTTAATCCCCTCAGCAACCTTATGAGGTCAGTATTCACTTTATTCCCATCATACAGATGAGGAAACTAAGGCCCAAGCAGTTGTTATGCATGGGAAAAGGGAGACCCATTAGGTCAACAGTGGCTACTCACATCATCTGATTCAAGGCCTGATGTTTTCTACTGCTCACTGCTACCTACACTTCTAACCACCTGCTAAGTACTAGAAAAGCATTATGGTGTTTAAAGAAATCACATAGTTTTAATGCTTTTTGTTTTCCTTTTGAAGATGGTTGAGTGCCCTGAGGCTCCTCCTCTGATGGGAAAAAAAAACAAAACAGCAGTTGGAAAGCCCCATAGGTATATCTCCACCCTTTCCCAGTGACTAAAGCTGGTTTCAGGAGGGTGTATGCACCTGTCCTTGAAGCGTTTCAGCAGCTCCGGTTCTGCCTGGACTTGCCTGTCAGAGAGCCATAGAGAGCCTTTGTTCCAGGGCACAGATAACACATGCCTATGGGCAGAGGTACAGGCCCAGGTGAGCCCGGTGGAGGTGCTCCTGGTTTGGGGCACTTCCCTTGGACTGGGCCTCTTCGCCCCCTTGGTAGTCCCAAAAGTTGGACCCATCGTTTGCTCTTGGAGACTTGCCAGAGTCCTGTGAGCCTGGGCCTCACCCTGCTCTGAGTTATTTTCAAGATCCCTTCAACTCCTCCCTGACACACATGGCACCTGCCATGACCATCTGTAATCCTGTCCCTGTGAGGAAGAATGGCCTTTATCTCTGGGAGTTTTGAGAACACCTGTGGTTTGTGGTACCTGGCCCTGAGCCCATCTTCCTGTACAGGAGAATCGGAGGTCCAGGGATATGGCAGGCATATCCTATTAAGTTCATCGAATGTTTGCTGGGCACATCCTCTGTGCCAGGCACACTGGGGTGTGCAGAGAGTCAAGTCAGTTATAGAAAACTAGCCTTAATTCCAACTAATAAGAGAGCTGTGTTAATGGTTATGTTCAGGATCCTGTGGTACCCAAAGAAAGGCAGTTCAGCCTTGCCTAGGGCAGTCAGGGAGTGCTAGACAGAGGCAGCGATGTTTCCCCTGGGTTTTATGGGATATATAGGCATTCGTCAGACAGACAAAAAAGGTGAAAGGAAATCTAGACAGAAGATGGGGCATAGGTAATATGGTAGGAGCAAAGGACTAGCTCTTTATCAACCTTGCAGATGGGAGAAAGAGGAATATTGTTCAAGTGCCTCCAGGAAGGAGTGTATGCTTTTGAAGTAAAATCAATTGCTGACTTGACGAGCTCAGACCTGGGTTTGCTGCTCTGATGTCCAGAGATCTAGATACCGGGCTTGCTCCTCTCATCCTGAGCCAGAAAGCAGGAAGTCTTTCTGAATCTTTAGGGTAAAAGCAGCAGGTGGAGCATTTCCATTTCTTCCTACTCACATCACCTAAGCTTGACAGTGCATATGGGACCATTTCTGCCTCTCACCAGCCTCTGCTTTCACCTCCTCAGTCACTTCCCCTATGGATAGAGTCATTGACAGGCTTGGTGAGCACTACACAGAAGGGCTGCAAGAGTGGGGCAGAAAGTTATTTGGTGAATTTAGGTTGTGTAGCTTGCCCATCTAGAGGAATAATGCCACAGGATCCGTAGCCAGCTGGGCGAGCCTGACACTACCATGGCTTAAGGCGACTGAATAGGAATCCTGCAACTCTTCGGTCTGACACAGCCCTCCTTTTGGCTCCGAATCTCTTCTTCCCTATAGAGCCGGTTCTTTGTATTAGATTATTCCAATACTTGTGTCTTTGTAAACCAGGCCCGAGGTTTCTCTTAAATAGTGTTAAAAAAAAAAATAACTCTCATCTTTATTCTACCCTTTGTGCCAAACATTCCCTACAGCATCTATGCAGATTAGTACCAGCCAATAGGAACAAAGAGATCAGTAAGAACCCAAAGAAGTTAAGAGTCAAGGCAATGCTGAATTCTAATGGAAATTGGAATGTGGCTGTGTAATTTGTTCTTCAGTTCATACGGGGGCAGCCACAAGAAGAGAATGGAGATCAGGGTTCCTATGTTGGTTTAGACACCGGTTAGCCAGTGTCTCCTCGGACAAGTCAATTCTCTCTAGGTCTACATTTTTTTCCTTCTCTAGACATCAAGAGGATGGTAATAGTTGATTAGATACAAAATGATACTCTTTTTTTCCAGCGCCTTGGGAAATGTCATGAAGGAAACATTTTTGTGGGCTGGCAAAATGACATTTTTTTTTAGACTGCCTGTGGAGACTGCTTAACAGGCCTCATTAAATGACATTTAGAAATATGAAAAGAATACAATTCTAGCTATTTTGGATATTGTCTGTTGTAGGCCACCCATAGCATAAACTGTGGCTTTCAACCCCAATCAGAGCATTCACCACTCTTGAGTTTTGTGTTCCGGAAAGAAAATTAAACAGCCCAAATGTCCACCAACTGGTGAATGGATACACGAAATGTGGTATATCCATAAAATAAGATAATACTCGGCAATATAAAGAAACTAATGATAAATGCTGTAACCTGGATGAACCTTAAAAGCATATGCTAGGTGAAAGATGCCAGATGCAAAAGACTGTATTGCATGATTCCATTTATATAAAATGTCCAGAATAGGCAAATCTGTAGAAACAGAAAGCAGATTAGAGGTTGCCTGGGAACAGTTTGGGAGTTGACTGTGGATGAGCATGAGGGCTCTTCCTGACTCTACTAAAATCATTGTACACTTAAGTTTATGAATGGGAATTAAACCTCAGTAAAACTATTTAAAAAAAAAAAAACAGGAAATCACCTTTGAATTTTCTCTAATATGAAAATATTCATGATCGATTTCTCACACCTGTGACTTGCCTAGAGGCGATGTGAAGGAAAGATGGACAGCTTCTCAGGCTTCCTTGAGGTGAAGAGCCCCATGGTGAGTTCTGTGCAGGCTGCAGTGACTATATTTTCTGAACCAAGAAAAGCTGTCATGAGTCAGGCAGTGTCCTAGGTGCTTTGCCCTCATTTTCTCAATTAATCTTCATTTAATTCTCATAACAACCCCGTGGGAAAGATACACAGCCAGCTGCTCATTTTAAAGATGAAAACTGAGGCTCAGAAAAGGTGAATCTTGTGAATACTCAAAAAGGTCTTTCTGGTTCCAAAAATCACTGATCTTTGTAATAAAAAACGTTGCCTCCTAAGAAAAAGTGTGTTTATGGCAGCAGTGTGCTCTTTGACCAAAAAAAAAAAAAAAAAAAAGATGTTTTAGGGAATAATACAAGAAACCATTATGAAGAATAACTTAACAACCACAGAAGGTAGAGAATGTGGCAAGGCTGGCTCCTTGTCTGCTCTGGGTCGAGCTGGTAGGTTATGAGAGTGCTGATGTGGACATCTTCTGAGCCCCTGGATATGCTGATTTGTTAGTTCCTCCCTTCTTTGTTTTTCTTGCATGGTTTTAAAAAATGTATTGTGGAATGTTTGACACATTCCATAACGAAAGAATACTTATAGAAGAAGAATGAAGAATACTTGTATGACCACCAGCTAGCTGAATAAAACATTATCTATTGTGCTTTTAAATTTGCCACACATGATGAGTATACAAGCAAGCCAAGTTATACAGTGTTAGGAGACCAGGCTTTGAGCCATAGAAACCTAGATTCAAATCCCAGCTCCAGCATTTATTACCTTGGGAGGTCATAAAACCTTTCTGAGCCTCTGCTTCCCTATAAATAGGAGAGGGTTAATAATACTTCCGAGGTTGTAGGGATCAAATGAGATCGTGTATGTAAAGAGCTTAATCTGACACATACTAATTAGTAGTAGCCCTCATTATTATAAATAAGTTATATATTGCCTGACAATTATAAAAGGCACTAAAAAAATCTTGCATAGATTTCATCTAGCTCCATGGCTAGCTCTACTCTCTCCCTCCGGTAAATTCAGTGTTGGGAAATTGTCTGTTTTCCCAAGTTCCTTGATAGATCCTAACCTGCATGCCAGCTCTTGATCGTCTCATCTTGATTCTGTCCCTAACTCCTGTCATTATCCCGCTGGATGACCACAGGTATGTCACTTCACCCTCCATTTTTTCCATGAGTAAAATGAGCCTACTGAATCATCCTGACCAAGCCTCATATTCTGTGACCCTGAAGCACTTGTAAGAACATTTAGAAGCAGAAGCAGAACCAGCCAGAGGTAGGTATGTGCTTCTCCTTTAGTTTCCTGAGGATGGAGAAGGAAGCAGAGCTGAAGGGTTAAAGCTGAATGAGCTGAATGATCCAAAGAAACAGAGGTGGGGGTGTTGGCTTGGCCACCTCCCTGGAACTTTCTCTGCTCCCTGCATTGCACACAGTGGGTTATAAGCATCCTGATTTGTCCAGATCAGTCCTGGCTTGCACCTGTCATCCTGGTGTAATTAATAGCCCCCTCTGTTTACTCTCAAAAATATTATGGTTTCAGAATAAATTATAAGGTCACCATAGTAGAAACCCTCATTTTTAGAACACGAAACTGAAACTGTATGGGATCTCATACAGGATTCTGGGGCTACAGTCATCACATAGTAACTAAGACCAGTGAAAGACTTCACTATTTACAGTGTGCTCTCATTTGATCTGCAAAACAACTTGTGTGTGAGGGGGCAAGCTGTGTCGATATTGCCACTGAGCCCCTGAGAGAGTAACTGACTTGCCCAGGGTTGCATAGCTAGTAAATGGTAGAGTACAGACTGGAACTTATGGCTCGGGTTTTCCAAAAGCTCTACTACTGTCAGTTTTGTCTCACAATCAGAAATTGCTAGCTCCCAAAGTAGAGAGTGAAGGCTGGAGTCCAGGAGTTTATTGTCAGTTTCTGCAGAGCTTGGAGACGGGGGATGCTCCAACAGGAAGTGATTTGCCTGGCCTGACCAGCAGCTCACACCCAGGGCACTGGCAGCCTTGCAGGGTGCCTTTGTCTGCAAGGACTTAGTTCATATCTTCTGCCCCTCAGCTGGTGCTTGGAGGAAACTCTTGTTCTTGTTTCTTTATCAGTAGCTTCTTCCCAGGCCTGGGGCTAACCCGTGGGTGTGCATTACTCACACAGGTGAGGCTTCCCTTCCTTCCCTTCCTCCCATCCCTCAGCTTAGGATCTAAGCAAAGCAGGAGACGCCCCAAAGTTTCCTCCTTCTGTGCCCCTCATGCTGGAAAGCCCTGTTACTTCACCCTCAGGGTCAGTTTAAACCTTGGCCATAGGCATCTGGTGTTTAAAAGAATTGCCACAAGAAGGGATTGCCCAAGGAGAAAAACCCTTGCTTCCATAGCCTCTGTAATATAAATACTTTATTCCTTCTCTGCAGCTCTTTATGCATGCCTTGAGGCAAATGCATTTTAACATCTGAAAAATTCCATTTGGGATAAAAATTTTCTTATCCCCACTCTACTTTTTTTTAATATAGGAGAATTTTTGTGTGAGTTCTTTATGGAACCAAGTCCTATAGGCTATCCCTACACCCATCCCAAATTAAAGTTATTTATTCTTCGGACAAGAGAGACTCAGAGACTTGTATTTGAGGGGAAGATTGTGGAGTGGGACAGTAGCCACTTGGCACACTCCAAGTGGTTCGAAGCATAGAACACAGACTTGGCAGAGCCCCGTGAAGACCAGTGAGTGTCCCCTGGCACTGGAGAGCTCCTGTGTCCCCAGATCATTTGTTGTGCCCCTAGAACAAGCACGGTCTTGCTCTGACTTACTTTTTTGGTTGTGTCTTTACTGAGAATTTCTTCCTGGCACTTGCCAGACATCCAGTTGCAACTTGCCTCATGTATCCACTCTAATCCCAGTGGGGAGAATAAGCTAATTTCTTTGCGGTTTAGGCCTGATCTTAATTGACTGTGATACCAGTTACATAAGTGTTCAGGAAATCTGTCATATCCCAGAGGAATTCAACTCTTGTGAGGGCTGAAGCAGCCCATGGCACTGGAGCAAGAAAGGACTCTGCTCTAACCAGACTCTTTATTGTCTTGCAGAAATCAGGAACGGAAACCTCAAGGCTATTCTAGGCCTCTTCTTCAGCCTCTCCCGGTACAAGCAGCAGCAACAGCAGCCCCAGAAGCAGCCCCTCTCCTCGCCGCTGCCGCCTGCTGTGTCCCAGGCGGCTGGGGCCCCCTTCCAGTGCCAGGCTGGCACTCCTCAGCAACAGGTGCCAGCCACTCCCCAAGCCCCGTGCCAGCCTCACCAGCCAGCGCCACATCAGCAGTCAAAAGCACAAGCTGAAATGCAGTCCAGGTGGGGGCTCCTTGCCAAATGACAATTCTGTGTTTTTCAGGGATCCTCCTCCACACTGACCAAGTTCTATCCTATACTGAACGTGTTTTTCATTCGAGCTTCTTCTGTGTTGAGAACTACTGGTAGTTAGTGAGGAATTAGCATGACCTTGAACTGGAGGCCTCCTCCTGTGCCTGGCAGTGATGTGTACTTTTATGTCAGAATCGCCAGGAGCCGAAGCTAATTAGCTGTTCTTGCCTTAACTCTGGCCTATTACACATAGGCTCATAGGCAGTAAAAATCCCCTAAAATAGACTTCAGACTTCTTTTGCATGTTTGCCTACAAGCTGGGTGTTTAGTGTTATGTGTGGGGGTAATTTTACTTATTGGAGGCAAAAGTTCTCCTCTAGCAGATACCTCTCCTTTGCCAAAAGAGAAATGTCAAGAACAAAGATGTAAGATGGCAAATGGTCCTTAGTCACTTTCCGTGACACGGCCAGCATCCCCTGATGGGAGCAGTGACCATTAAAATGTGACTAGACTTTGTTGACCTTAGAGTGATGGTGGCCACATCAGCTGTGGTCCTCTGTTTTTGCAGGATTAGGGCCTGGATTTTATTGGTATTCCCAGAGGGCCTGATGCGTGCCAGTGGGACTCATCATAGAACGATAAGCCAGAAGAGTGCCAGGGTAGTTGCCATCTACTTTGTTATAATGGGAATAGTCACACTCCTAAACCGCTCTGTAAAAGATCACCTTATAAAACATTTAATGGAGAAAAAAGAGAGGATTAGGAACCTAGAGTGTTTTTGACTCATAGTAAACTTCCGGAGAAAAGTCCCCAGTAATTATTGTTTTTTTAAGCTGTAAACTGATAGCTATCAAACCTCAATGTCACTGATCAGATCAGTTGCTTGATTTCATTTAATATGTACTAAAGAGTAATGGCCTTTTCTTTCAAGTCCCCCAAAGCACCAGCATCAATAATCATAGGGCTTCTCACTTACCTTCACACCATTAGTAGCCCATTGTAGCTGGTCAAAGCACGAAGCAGTTCAAACAAAGCAGATGCCTTATAGATGTTACAATTTTTCTTTCCCATGAGAAGTGCTATTTTCCAATTGTGATGCTGTTAAAAGCGGCAGTAATGGATGTGATGTAAATCAGATTCTCTAATGAATTATCTAATTGTATCCAATTCACATTATGGAAATTCGTGGGCTAGCGGACAATGGGGAATAGACCACCAGGCAGCCAGCCTCTGCACCCTGACCCTGACGAACCACCAGAGTAGGAGCTATTCTCTGATCAGAGGTCCCTGACCGACCTGGATGATTGAGTGATCAAGGACATCACTTCACGCATTGATTCTGCAGAGTGCTTATTCTCCAGATGATAACTTGCCGGGGAGGAGATCTAAGCTGGGTGTGGAGAGGAGTTGGGGAATTGGGGGAATCTGGGTTAAGTTGTTATTGCTGTTACCGAAGTTCTTCTCAGATACTTGAATCTGCCAATACACATTCATTTATTTAGTTAGTGTTCGAATGCCTTCTGTGGGCCAGACACTGTTCTAGGCACTTGGGGGTCAAGAGTGAATGAGGTGGCCAAGGCGCCTGCAGTCTACGTTCTACTGGAGGAAGCAGGCAAATAAACAAGGGAGAGAAATATCAGATAGTGGCGTTAAAATAAGATGATGGAATTCAGAAGGGTTGGGTCAATAATTCAGGTCGGGCTGATAAGAAAGTCTCTCTGAGGACATGACACCCAAGCGGAAATATGAAATGACAAAGAGTGACCTGTGCGAAGCTCGGGTGTGTAATAGACCAGACAGAGAGAGCAGCTGGTACGAAGGTCCTAAGATAGAAGCTTGGCAGGTTGTAAGAGCAGAAAGGAGGCTCAGTGCATGAGGAGAGGCGGGAAGTGGAAAGGCGACCTGTAAACAGAGGGCTGCCACCATTTACATGGAGGACAGTGTGACTGGTGGCTCCTGGAGCTGAGCAATGCTGTAGCCCAGAGGCCAGGTCACAGAGTGCTGGCTAAACTGGGTATAGAGTTCGTATTTCATTCTAGAAGTGACAGAAAGCTGAGTGGTGAACATGCAATGCAATATACATATGATGCATTATCAGATTGTATACTTGAAACCTATTTGATTTTATTAACCAGTGTCACCCCAATAATTTTAATAAAAATAAAATAAAATCTATATTGTTTCACTACAAAAAATAAATACATAAAGTGATAGGAAGCCATTGGAGAGTCTTGAGCAAGGGAGAGACTTGATTTGATTTAGTTTTTTAAAAAAGTCACCATCGTGTCTTTCTGGAGAGTAAGGCTGTGGAGGAGCAAGAATAAGAGGAAGGACCCCAATTAAGAAACTTCTGTGGTCCTCTAGGATTGAGGTGGTGGAGCAGATATGGAGGTAGACCAACTCGGGATATTTTGGAGGATGAGCCAACAGGACTACAGGTAGACTGACTGCCTAGGGTGAAAGAGAGAGGAATCACAGAGAAAGCCTAGATTTCTGGCTTGAGCAGTTCAGCAAATATGGTTTTTATCGATGTGAGGAAGCCGGGGAGAGGAACACATGTGCACTGTGACTCTTCAGAAGAGGGAAATAGAAAGCATTCCTCAAATTTGGCCACAGAACTCTTCTTATTTTATAGAGCATCTCAATGCATAGGGTTCCAAGGAACCTGTGTTGAGAAACAGTGGGCTTGTGTCACTGAGCTATGCCAGCCTGAGACATTCATTTTCATGATAGACATTTGTTATCGTAAAAGAACCAGATGTTCCAGTTAGGACACCCATCTCCCAGTAAGAAAAAAACATCCTGCTATTAATAAATACTCTAGAGAAGAGCCAGACTCACTTAAGCCAGGTTTTTATATTCACTTATTCCAGAGTGGTTCCTGCCCTCATGGCTCCTCACCCTGAAATGTGACACAGACTGGTCTTTGTAGGTGCTGTGTGTCCTCACTAGTCCTTTATCTTGCCCAGATTGGATTACTTCTGCAGACAACTGGTTTCATCCATTATATGTTGATACTTTCTCATTTTACTTCCAGAAGATAACCTTTTTAAGTTCTAGAGATATGGTAGCCCATCCTAGCATTCTGGCTATAAATTTAAGACTAGCGAAGTTGCCTTATTGGCTCATTTCCATTGTATTACTTTCTCCAGATTCTGACTTTGATAACCGAAGTCCCAATGGTAGTGATTTCGACTCTTGATCATCAATGTCAAATGTTGATATGAGCCCCAAATACCAGGTTTGTTTTTGGTCCTCTGTTAGAACTCTGCCCGATATGAACATGCCTAAATACTATACCTCTTGGGATAGCAAATGCTAAAATTTGGCAACTTCCCTATGGCGTTTATGAATAAAGGACTTGTGGAAGCTGGCCAAGGACATTTGAGACATTGGCATGAAGGAAGCAGAGCAACACTTCCACGGGGGCCAAATGGAGAGTCACTTTTACGTCTTTGCTTCAGCCCTTCTCATTAATATACATGATGGCTGAGAACTTGATCCACATTTCAGCTCATGAAGTTCCTCACCAGTCTGGAGTCTAGAAGAGAAGTGTAATCCCCAAGACTTGCTTCCCTCTCCCCCTGTGTCTACCTTACATATTATCAATATTCAGCTGTTGAGGAAAAAATTTTTTTTTAATTTCCATTTTTTTCTGTCTTTTTCTTCACTTCCTAAGTCGAGTGACACCAGCATTATATTTCTCATCTCAAATCCTTTTACAAACATGGTATAGGATGTATGGATTCAAGAAGATAAATATTTCCATTTTTCATAAGGCAGTAAATAAATTTAACTTTTGTACCTTTTGTACAGTAAATAAATCTAACTTTTGTACCTTTGTTTTGGCTAACTCTATATGAGACATTTCAGACATTCATCTGAAAAACAGCCTGATAGAACAAGCATGTGAATAGACGCACCTAAATACTTTTGAAAGGTATAAAGTTGACTTGTCAGAAACCCCTTGTTTTCGATATAATTACGGGAAGAAGACTTTATAGTGACTGGTAGCAGAAAATATATGTGGTGTTTAAAAGAAAAAAGAAAAGAAAACCAAAAAAAGCTTTTTGGTAATCTTGATAGCACGTTCTTCACATTGGAAATTTATCAAATCAGAAAAGTTAGATCTAGAAAGAAAACTGTGCGTTGTGGGAAAAGTGGGCAGAGGGAAAACCAGGAGCCATTCTCATTGTAATGAGACTCCTGTTGTTTATTTGTATTTGTGTGTCTAACGCATCTTCTCTCCCCTCACTCATCTCTTCCACTTTTTTCTTTCCTATCATGCAGTGCGTCATCCAAGGACTCATCTCAAAGCAAAATCATCCGCTTCACTCTGGGTCAGAAAAAGATCTCTAGGTTAGACTTTGTGTCCTGAAAAGCATGGTTTCAACCCAACCCGTTCTTCCCTCGGTTCTGGCTATGTTTCCCTCTGGCCCCTCTCCCCATTTCATGTTTGCAGTTCAAGAAAACCAAACATGCTTTGGCCAATGACCCAACAGTGGAGAGTTTTGAGAGTGGCCGTGGAGTTATTGAAGTGTGTGTATGTGTGTTGAGGGGAGGGAGGGAGGAAGGGAAAGTAAATGAGGTTGAGGAGGTGGGGTTTACGTAATGTTTCTGCATTCAATTGATTTTGGCTTTCATTGCTTGGTCATCAAAATCCATTCTGATTTAGGGAGAGGTGAGTGTCTAGGTGGTTTTCGTAGTGGTTTTATGATGAGTTTGGCTCCCCGCTCTGTCCTGACCCTGATCCCACCTCACCAGCATCTCACTTATGTTTGTTGTGCTTTTTGTTGCTAAAATTACTAATGTGGGATTGGTTTTCTCCTGAGTTATGAAGACCTGAAGCATGAATCCAGTTGGTCAGAGGAGACAAAGCAATAAGGCAGCTGTCTCATTTTTGATTCTGGATCCTCTGTGTACCATGGCAAGACCACTTCAGTTTCCTGAAATAAAAATTAGGCTTGCTCACTAAGTGGTTCTCTTGACTCAAGAGTTAGGCGCCCACTGTACCCTATGAGGACCCATTCCAGGGTAAGGGAAATGCCAGTTACGCCATGATCTCAGTTATTTTAAAAGTATCAGCAACTTCTATTTCTTGAATTCTTATTATGCACCAATTTGAATTCAATATCTTATTTACTTTGCACATCTGTCTTGTGGGTGTTCATGTTATTATCCCAATTTTACAAGTGAGGAAACTAAAATTCAGGAGTTTGGTAAGTTATGCAAGATCACAGAGCAAGTGGAAAAACCAGGATTTGAGCCTAGGCGATCTAACCCCAGTACCCTCACTTTATCCACTGTGCACACTTCTGCCCTCCCCATTGTTGAATTCCAGTATTTATGTGGTTGTTGAGGCTGCTTTTTAAAATCTTATGTTTCGACAATTACTCCCAGCCTTTTGCCTCACATTGCACCTGTAGCATCCTAACAGAAATAGAATTTCCTCCTCATTATGACTAGTGTTTATTTTTCATTGACTTCTCACTTAACGCTAAAAGGATACCCACACTTTGTTTCTATCTGTATTCATGTAACAAATACGCACTGAATGTCCGTTTGCCGCCCCTGCCCTGGTAGGCTCTAGTTGCCTTTTCTAAAGAGAGTTTACGTTTCTAAAAAACTTACACAAGGAGAACCCCAACTCAGGCTCTGCCTGGCATAGGGTGGGGCGTGGGAGAAGAAGCCACCGTCAGTTGCTTTTCTGTAGAACATGTCAGCATGTTACCAGACTTGGATCTGGGGGTCAGGAGGGAACCTACATCCATCACTGCTTCTCATAAGGCTGGATGACTTAACAGAAATTTAGTTCTGGAGGCTGGGAAGTCAGATCAGGATGCTAGCACAGTCTGGTCCAGATGAGGTCCCTCTTTCAGGTGTTCAGATGGCAGCCTTCTTGCTGTGTCCTCACATGGTGGAGAACGGAGAAAGAGGAAGCGAGCTCTCTCCCATCACTTTTCATAAGGCATTGGTGCCATCACGAGGCCTTCACCTTCATGACCTAATTACCTCCCAAAGGCCCCATCTTCAGACACCATCACACTGAGGCTAGAGTTACAACATCTGAATGGGGTTTGCGGGGACAGGCACAAATGTGCAGTTTATAGCACCATACTAGTGACTGCTTTCCCTAACAAAGAATATGAGACCCAAGTCAGAACGGATACCCACTGCCCTGGCAAACTGGGTCCCCATGTTTTTGAGTGCCATACAAATGTGCATGCATAGGAAAGGAGAGGGGTGGGTGAGCTTGGAGGAAGCATGAACTCTAGTGTTTATTCACACGATGTGCTTAGTTCTGGGAGATAAAATAGGAGCTAGCTGGGAAAACATCTAATTGAGAGCACAAGCCAGTCCTGTGCATGATTTGTTATCAGACCCAGGTGATGGAAGAAGTAGTGGTTGGGAAGCAGTGGGAACAGAGGAAGGAATGAAGGATGAGGGCTTGTCTGCTCCTGCCCTAAGGGTCTGTGGGCACAGCACTTTCAAGTTAACTGAAAGCAGGGTCCGGCTTTCCTTCAGGGTCATATCCCTCACCTAGAGTTCCTTTTGGATGCATTTAGTCTCTGATGAAGCCAATAAAAGGATGCTTTTTATTTTATTATTTGCCTAATACTCCTTGCCTTCACTTGTCCCTACCCCCAGCCCAGAGCACGATCCTGATGGGCATTTTAGCCCGTCAGAGACCACAAGTATAGCAGAAAGTTTGGTTGCCAAAAGAAAATAGCCCTACCCCTCTGGCTGAGGAGGACACATGTCCTAAAGCTCTGGAAACAGGTGTGTTCTTCAAGTACAAACACTGATTGAACGAATGTCTAACAGACGCAAACACCTTGATGGGCACCAGGGATGCCGAGCAAGGTAGAAAGCCTCACCCGTGAATCTGGATGCAGAGAAGGGACTTATGGAGGGAATTGGTACAGGAATGAAGGATTTCAATGAATTTCTGCCTTGGACCACTGTTTTTGTCCTTTGGCATCCCTGGTGAACCCCAGGTATTTAAGCTCATTCTACTTGCAGGAAGCAGAGAAACAAAGTGGCTAAGAGTACAGCTTTGCAGTTAATTCTAGTGAAAGCCTCTCTTCACCACTTACGGTTACCTGGGCAAATTATTTAATCTCTATAAGCTTGTGTTTCTTTATTGGTAAAATGAGATAGTCCTGTCTTACAGTGCTATCTGGATTAAATAAAGTCATGTCCAGTTCTTTAATACCCGGCATGTAGCAAGTACACCATAACTAACGGATGTGGCACATTGGTGTTTTGGGTTGATCTGGGCCAGGTTGAAGCCACCAGGCACTTCTAGCAAGTCCTACAGAGTTGATCTTTACACAGACCATCTCGTGGAGAGGAATCAGAGGGGCTAGTAGTTCGGTCCTCTTGACCCAGCTGCTGAAAAGCAGATGCCGTGGAGATGAGAGATTTAGCATTTATCATCTTGTCTAGCAAAAAGCATCTCTGATTATGACCCCCACCCTCCACAGCCCTAAGCATGTGCACACAAGCTGCTGTCCTTCTAAGGAGGGCCGTCTTCTGCTCCCGGCCTTTGAAGTGGTTTTGGAGGGAAGAATGGCTTTCTTCCCACCAGCACGTACAGAGCGTAGAGACAAGATGCACTGTGCAGGTTACATGCCAGGACTGATAGCTTTACCACCCTGCCTGCTGGGCTCTGCACATGTTGGAGAAATTGACCATGGTTCCGATAGCAGCAGGGTTCTTCCTCCACCTCTTTGTTCCACCCCGTACCTTAAACTTAATTTTTAAAAAAAGCAACATGTATATGTTTCAAAGAACCTATCTGTGTTCTCTGTCATTTTGTAACTGTATCTGAACATGGAATGATCATGAGAAGTAGAGGTCCTATTCTGGAATCTTCTGGTGTTATAAATGGTGCGGAGGTGTAAATGACTCAGGCTTGACTTTGCGTGCTCCCCTCTTACTGCTTTTCTTCCATGAGGCAGGCACCCTGGGCAGCATCCGCTTTGGTACCTGCAGCTGTTCCCCATGAACAAGACCCAGCTCTTCAGCAAGGAGGGATTCTAGCATACAGACAGCAGCTGCTTCCAGGCTGGAGCTTGATGGAATTCTCCTGATGCACAAGGATGTTAATAATAATGAACTTCAAAATGTTAGCCAGAGGCCTAGGGTCTGTGTCACTGTAAAATAGAGGATACTCTGCTTTTCTACTCTAGCTCTGCTCTCAGCCTCCCTAATTAATGCCTTAGTCCTAGAGGGCAGGACAAAGTCCAAGATTAATACTGACATACGGGGTCCTCCCTCTTCTGGCCCTGCGTGTTTCTTCAGCCTCATTTCCACTCCTTCTTTCTCCCACATCCCAGCACACAACCACCTTTTCTTTCTCCGTACTCTTATGCAGGCTTCCCTCTGCGTAACACCTCTGCCTCTCACGACGACTCCCTGCCTGCTTGCCCTCCCTTCACATTCCCATTCCACATGCCACATCTTGCTCTGGAGTCATGTTTTGTTTTGTTTTGTTTTGTTTTTACTCCTACAAGCACTCGGTCTTCCTAGGTGGTCTCCCATCCAAGTACTAACCAGGCCCAACCTTGCTTAGCTTCCGTGGAGTTGTTTTTATTTGGAACCTTCCCTGACCATCTCACCTACCTCCAAGGTTATCATTTTCCTTCTTGGAATTACTTCTGACCTTTGCATATTCTTTTATCAGTGTGTGTATAATTTAGATATCAGCGGGGGCGAATCTGCCCTTTAAGATCTGGAGAAGATTGAACTGGAACCCTGCCTTATTCTGTTCGGGCTGCCATAACAAATGACCGCAGACTGGCTTATAAACAACAGCAGTGTATTTCTCACAGTTCCGGAGGCTGGAATTGCAGGAGCAGGACGCCAGCATGGTGAGGTCTGGTGAAGGCCTTTCCCAGGTTGCGGACTGCTGACTTCCTACTGTGTCCTCGTGTGGCGGAAGGGGCAAACTAACTCTTTGGATCCTCTTTTGTAAGAGCACTAATATCATTCATGAGGATTACACCTAATGACATAATCACCTCCCAAAGGCCTCGTCTCCTGATACCATCACATTGGTCATTAGGTTTCCACATATACATTTTGGGAGAACACAGATATTCAGACCCTAGCAAGCACTTTCAATTTGGAGACAGTTCAGTGACCTCCATGTGATAGCTCAGGTTATCTTAGGTTCTCACGGTCACCTTTGGCTTTGAAATCCTATATTCGAAGTCCTGTACTTGTAAATCAGTGTGAATTAATTTAGCTCGTGAATTGACTCACCATCTCCCCAAAATGTTTTTGTTCCCTCATAGGTGGATCTAAGCCTTTTTCCTTACTTCCTACCTACCACACTTCATTCATGGCCTTTCTGTGTGAGGCGGGCTTGCTGAAAATTTCAGAGGGATGGAGGAGGTTTACTTGGGAGCAAGCAACTATCCAAACCCATTCACAAAAGAACCCAAGTATTAAAGCACATTGATGACATAGATTCTCTCTGAAACTTGGAAGAAATTACTTAATCTTCATCCAGTTTTCCCATTTGGTCAAGTTCAGGAAGCTGTTCTGACTAGGATGTAGTGGGGATGGGGGTAGAGGATAACATGGGTCGGCTTGAGCTTTGGTGGCTTTTGATGGCTCAGTATGTGTCAGCCATCCTTTATTTGCCATGCCGGCTGCCCTCAAGGCCTTCAGGAACTCCCTCTTCATGTCCCAGGAAACTCGGCACAGTTCTACAGCCATGCGAAGGATACACCACTCCCATCAAAGGAGCACCTCTAGGTCCTGACTCAACGAAGAGAATCTGACTGTGACCACCTGTGGAAAACCCAGATCTGTCTTAGACCAAGACTAAAAATGTTTCACTCTGGGGCGTGGGGCCCACAGGTGGCTCAGAGGTACCCCAAGTAGTATAAGGTCTCAAACAGTCATAGATGTTTGGATGAAGCAGTTACTTGGATGAAGCAGTTTCTCTTCTGGAATGTTCCTTAGGGAGGTGATAAGTCCTGTCTGTCTGCCAAAGCCTATCTTGATTCTTTGAAAATGTTCATCTTAGACTCATATGATGATTTTGTCCAGCTCTCTTCTGATACTTTAACCTAGATCCATCTATTTCCTTCCTTATTTGCCTGATATTTTTTTGTTCCATAGCATGATTCTTTTATGATAATGCCCAATTCCTTTATGAATCTATGCTCAGCACAGAGGATGAAAAGAGGAGCCACCATGCAATGAGTACTTACAACAGGCCAGAAATTAAGTACCATTTCAAGTTTACAACTATCTCACTGGGTAGTTTATTATTATCTCAAGGCTACAGAGATGGAACATGAATCTATGAGAGATTATAAAACTGGTTTAATATCATTTGTATAGAATAAGACCATGTTCTCTTCATTATACCGCAGTGCCTCACAAAGGACCAGACTCCCAAACTAATTCGAGCTTGCGTCCATCCCATTTAATACTTCGATATCTCCCCTCTATAAAGGCCCTGTGCTGCCACGAAAAATCTGTGGTTCAGCCCCATTCTGGGCAGTGTGGGCTCCCCAGCAACTCTGAAAGGAATGCATCTTTTCCCTCATTGCTTTTTGCTTCCCTGCTCTCTGCAAATTACCCACTAAAGCAGAATGTTTTAAACAGTGTTACCCTGTGCCACTTAATACCGTTGCTGTGATGTCATCTTGGAACAAGTCCATAATCCTTTTCCAGACCAATCTGTGGACTTCTGCAGAGTCCAGCCCAAAAGAGCCCCACATCTGCACCTGTGGAAACTCGGCTCTGAGTACTTAGATAGCACTGACTTGGAAGACTTGCACTATGCTGTTGACATTGGAAGCAGAACCAAGAGGTAGCAAGATGCCTTTGCTGGACCTCCTTGATCAGCTGTGGCTTCCAAACACAGATACTGGCATTGGGGGTCTTGCACCCTTCTCTACACCTGCCTTAATGGGGTAAATTAACAGAGGGGCAAATCCTCCTAGTGCAATGGGAAGTGATACTTTATTGGAGGAAGAGCTCAACCCCTTCTCTTTTAGCTCCCAGTCAAGGAACTAGGCCAGCTTTTCTTCTTAACTGTGCAAATTTACAATCCTCTCACACCAGCTCGTGTTCTCTGTTTACTCGACAACCATCTTTCTTGGTTGGCCAACAAAAAAAGTTTAAAGTGATTGCCTGCTTATATCTAAAATGCTTCCAGATTGCAGACTTCATTGGTGCCTACAGATTTGCATGGAAAGAGAAAGCTGAAAGCTTTATGAGTTGAATATTCGGACTTATCACTGGATCTAATGCTAGTCGGCTGAGATTCTCACTGGAACCTGTGGCTTTTAAACACAGCAAAAAGCGGGTTTTAGCAAAGAGATATAAGTAAATATTTCATCATTTATTCATCTTGCAACTTTGATGGTTGGAAACAGCTTGCTTAGAAGTCCCTGAACCAAAATTCTGAGCTGGGATCTTACCCTTTACTCTTTGGGGAATGGGCCATAATATCTTTAAATGCATTGCAGGAAAGTCAGCTGATTTTCTCAAACCACCCAAAAGGACGTGTTATATTTAAAGGGAAAGTGTGTGTGTGTGTGTCTTTGGCTAACAGATTCCTGCTAGTTTTACAGAAAGAACACATGATTTTATCCATCTACTATGCAGAGAAGCTGGGCTTCAGCGTCAGAGTAATGCCTACGGAGATGGGTCGTCAGGTGTCGAAGGAAAGTGTGTGTCTGAACAAGTGTTTCCATCCAGGCCATAAGTTTTCATTGCAGATGTGTTGGGTTCTGAATGATAGCAGCTTCCTCTTTGATCATTATAAATTGTCTTTTTCGCGATACTTATATTTCTGGATTACGGCAAATACCATTTTCAACACCTACCAGAAGAAATACACAAATTAAACAGCTTAGAGTCTTAATGGGCCTTTATGTTCCATGTTTGATAGAATTAGAGATGACATGGTTTGGCTCTGTTGTAAAAATATTCATCCGAGAGGCAAAAAGACGACCAGCTTTGTATTTTTAACCAGCAAACACAGTCACATATTTTTCCTTCAAAATGTCTCGTTGCTCGAAGGAAAACTGGTCACATTTTGCTGTTGTACTTCACCGGTGTCATTACCAGCTAGTTGTTTGTAGTGGCTCCACTAAATGCTTTGGTGGCAAACCTCCACAGACCCAGTGTCGTGAATGGTTTCTTTTACTGCCTGCATGGTTGCGGTTCCTTCTTCTGCGACGCTCGTGTTCTCCTGAGACTGAATCTGTTACTCTGCTGCTTTTGCCTTTTAGACTTCCAGGTCCCACTGCAAGGGTCTCCGCTGCGGGCAGCGACACCAAAACACGCGGAGGGGCGGCCGTTGCCAACAACCGACGCAGCCAGAGCTTTAACAACTATGACAAGTCCAAACCGGTCACCTCCCCGCCCCCACCGCCACCACCAAGCAGCCACGAGAAAGGTGAGTCCCGTTCTGGGGGGTCCTTTTTGACATCTTCCTCACAGCAGATCTAGTTCCTTTGGGTGAGCTTATTTGGGGGGCGGGGTGGCACATAGGGTGGTGGGAATGGATTACAAGGACATACTTGGCTGTCAGGAGCTTTGTCAGCAGGGAGGAAATATTGTCATATTCATAGTTGCCAGCAAGAATAGCTGTATTCGTCTGGGTGGGGCCCATAAGATACCTGGCTAGAGATAGAAGCAATACAGCATTTGCAATTTAAAAATAAATTTTCATAGTATTTTCTCTATGTAGTAGATGGTTTTCCAAAAATGCACACTTCTCGGGGCATGCATTTTGTGAACCGATAAGCATTTTACCCGTCAGAAGTGATGTGGGAGAAATTAGGAAAGAGGGAGTTTTCACCCTTTAAAAAAAAAGTCAGAAATGTGCGTTGGCTAAATGAAGATCTTGGCTACATATAAGGAGAAGGCAACATTGCTCTTGGTGTTCCGATGATGTAACTTTTACCAAAAAAGGATATGATTTTTTACTATACATAGCACTGAGCGTTTAGGATGGAGATTAAAGATGGGTAGCCCCGTGGGGGCTCTTGGACAGAAGGTAGTGAAACCTTTGCTTGCTTCAGTCTGTGTCTTGTGAGACACTGGAGAAACTGAGGCAGCTTAGAAGATTCTTCAGTAAGAGGCAGAGTGCCATCCTTCATTCCTCCCAGGCAAAGTGGTCTAGACTTCTTGAGGGGCAGGTGTCCAGGTCTCTTGGAAGCATTTCCTGTATGATGGGATGGGAGCTTCCTAGGGCTTGTCCTGATGTGCCCCTCTTCAGCCCCGAGACCCAGGAGAGCTGCCTTCTACTCCCTACAGGGCTCCAGGATCCTGGGCAGCCCTCCACTGTGAATGAGATCAGAATCTCCCCCGTCCACCCCTCCAGTTCAGGATGACTTGGTTCAGTAGAGCTGGGTACTCCTCCCTCCAGAATACCAGAGAAAATATGAAGGAAATTTATATAAGGCTGACAGAGACACATGGCAGAAGGTTTCCCAGACAAGCATTGGGAACTCTGCAACTAGCAGAAAAGCCATAACCAGGATGTCTCAACCAGTCAAGACTTTGTCATCTAGCCCTTGGCTTCTTTTTCTTCTCTCTCCCCCTATCCCTAGCCCTTCACCTCCTTTCATTTTCTTCGCCATACCCAAGTGTGTTCTTTTTAAAAGTGTGTTTGAATTACAAAAATAATATATGCTTATAAAATGGTACAAGTATATATAAAAGTTCTCCTTTATATGCTCCCTGAAGGATACTAATATAAACAATCCTATGCATATCTTTCAGAACTTTCACAATACAGTTTTATATGTACATATATATGTACATATGTGTGTATATACATAAAAATATATAGAAAAGTTTTTATTTTATATAAATAAGAGCTAAATTTTGAGTATCTACAATGTGCTTCATTGAATTCGCCCGAACAAGCTATGTTGATCCCCATTTTAAATACTTGCTGAGGTCATACTGGAGGTAGTGAGAGGTATAGTTGGAACTGAACCCAGGCACTTTGGTTCCAGAACCATGATTAATACTCTGCTTTTCCTGGAAATGGAAAAAAAATGCTTGAAGCCTTGCCCGCTGAGGGTTAGAGATGTGTGGGTTGAGCACGAGGGGACAGTTGGGAAGATGTTAGGGGAAACCTGGGCAGGGTCCTCTTGGGCCAGTCAACCCTTGTCCCATGGTCATTTGAGGAGAAGCTGTCAAAAAAAGTCTGAAGAATAGATATGAGACTGTAGTCCAAAAGATTGAGAAAATAAAGAAATAGTTCCTCGTGGATATAGAACAGGTATAGGAGGATGCATGGTTGGTGGCTGGAGGAACCATGTCCCAGAGCCTACCTCAGACACAGGGCCACTCAGGCAGCCCAGCTAGGTGCTGTCCATCAGTGCGTGCCTCTGTCCTGGGCAGGGGTTGCTGTGTGTGTGCACCGAGCAGACAGAGAGCCACGAGGCCTCTTAAAGAACTGTGTCTGTGACTTCTGATGAAGTCATTGCTGGAAGGAAAGACTCTGGTGTCAGAAGAAAGGGAAGTCATAATTATATATTGAGCACATATTATTTGCCAGGGAATTTGGTTTTCGCTATCTTACTTGATCTTCAGAAACATTCAGTGAGGTAAATATTGTTAATCCAGTTTTACAGATGAAGGAAATGAGGCTAATCGAGGTTTAGTAACTTGCTCTCCCTGGTAATTCACCGCTGGAATTCATATCCAGGTTCAACTCCCAGATTTGAACTCTGGATCTGGCCTGTCCCCTGGGATGTCTGTAGTGAGGATCAAGTGAGGTAATATGTGCTAGAGTGTTTTGTGAGCTGTGATGCTCACAAAATCCTGTTAAGGATTCAGAATAATAAAAATAACCAACGGTGGTTCCAGGTGCATGGAAGCTGGAGTAAAGCAGGCTTGAGGCAAGTCTGGGTATTTTTTTATACTAATATTTTTCCACACTAATATTTTTCCACCATCCTGAGGTAAAGGGGCAGTGCAGTTTTCATATTCCCTCCTTTTTTCATGGTTCCTGTATTCTCACTTGAATCTGATCTCGATTGCAGTTTATGAGGTAGCTAGTGCATGTGCAAGATATAATATGTGGTGAGGGAACAGAAATAACTTGGCCACCTACTGTGCATAAGACACAACACGTACTTGGGTGCACCAGATAACGTCCTTCACCTTGAGAAGTCTTGGCGAGACACACTTGTGAGCAGATGAATTGCAGTTCAGTGTGGTTGGTGCTGTAGTTGAGGTGTGGACCACTTTCGGATTGGTCAGGCGCTGATTGTGTTGTGTTCTGGCATTTCACTCTTCAGATGAACCAATTCATAGACCTTTATATGTGACCCATTGACCCAGGAATTCCACTCTTAGGAATTGATGTAATCACATCAGTAAGTTAAATGAGAAAAATCATTATTCTGTCAATAAATGAAAAAAATAGTCCAACACAATCCCAATTTTTAAAAGGAGTTAAGCAGAATAAAAGGAAATTATAACAAGCAATTTTTTAAAACCCCAGAGGACTCTTAAAATCATGTCCAAAGACACACGTCCCCTCTTACCATCATCACTTAGTTTAGTTCTGATTGTAGTGAATGATCACTTGAGATGGGAAACAGAAGAAAAGTCTTAGATACTACTTCATAGCTAGAAAAAGCCTGGAACTCACCCAAAATTTATTAGATCATTCCATAAGGTGACCAAGTCCACAGTTGATATATAAAAACCAGAAATGTTTCTTTACAGCAGCACAACCTGTTAATTTTCCTAAAGACTCTGATCTCAGATTTTGCAGTTCAGGGGAGTCTGCGGATCTTTACCCTTTAGGAAAACCTACTAGTTGTCATCATCGCTCTCATGGTTAGGTCCAACCTTTGGTTTCATCCCCGCACTCCTGCAGGCAGCCATCAGGCTCAGCTTTGCCTGGCTTGTGGGACATGCCAGCGGGTTCCACTGTGAAACGTATGCTGAGAAATGACTGGGATGCCCAACGGCCCTTTACTTCCTCTGTTGGCTCCTAGCGGCTATGTCAGGGATGAGGAATTAGCTGTCTTTTCTACATTTGTGACCTTATCTGTTTTCTCTTCCTTCCATCCCCTTACTTACATCCTCTGAATGGGTTAATGCTGCTAGAAATTTAATACATTTCTAAAGTATTTGGTCCGTCAGATGAATTTAAAATGTTCTGTATTCCTAGACAGAATTCTGTGCATTTAGAAGATGTTCTCTTTTGAATAATATCGTTTTCTTCTTTTTTTAGAAAGCATATCTTATTATATTTTCATTGTGAAAATCATCATGAAAAAATTCCAACGAAACAAACTTGCTAAAATTAAAAGAACCCTATAAATCCCAACTTCCAGAAATACCTACTGTTTACCACTTAGTTTATTTATATTATTCTGTATTTCCTCATGCATACACTATCACATTTTGATAGATAAGTTATCCCCAATGTTTACTATTTGTCAGGTACTATTCTAGTGCTTTATAAGTAATCATTTGTTTAATTCTTACAGGAGCTATATGCAGATACATACTCTCACACACATATGTATATGACTTTTATAATCATAAATAAAATCAAATCAAGGACAGCCTTTTTATAGGTCATTCTTTCTTCATAATGGCTGCATAGTAATCCATTGTATGAGTTTATCTTAATATTTTAACCACTTTTAGGTTGCTTCTTTTTTGATATTATAAACAGTACTGAGATTAACATCTTTGCATGTCTCTTCTGCACGTATTCAACCATTTCAGGGGAATTGCTGCATTAAAGGGTATGCACATTTTACAGTTGTTTTAACATTGCCAAATTTTGCTCCCAAAAGGTTATATTTATGTTTATAACCTATTTATAATTTCCGTCAACAGTGTAGATTCCCTCTACACTTGACACTGCTTTTATTTTTATTCTCTTGAGCAAAAATTACTGTCTTTGAAGTGAGGCAAGTTATTTTAAGCAGCTGAAATAAAACAAGATCATTTGCTAAAAACTGACCTTCTTTATGGCACTTTGCTGTGAGCTACAACCTATGACCTTGGCATAATACAAAAATTTGGGGGTTTGAGATCAAGTTCTCTACTCGCTAACATGACCTCACTCGTGACACTTACCTTCTTCAGGCCTTAGTTTCCCTTTCTGTAAAGTGAGTGTGAGGTCATCTGTTACTAAGTCACTGTGAAGTGTGAATGAATTATTCAGTTTTCACTGGCCACTTGGCCTTGTCTAATGTGAGCCCCATCCACGCTTTCTGGTAGGTTCCTTCCTCTGGTCTTCGTTCTGAGTCGCTTCCTTCCTTTTTGTTCACTTCTGCCTGTCATGTGCATAAGAGAAGAGCCAGACATTGCTAGAGACAGAGTTTTACAGCCTTCGGCACTGTGTCAAGTATGAGTTACATTGGGGCCATTTATTTAGAATCTCTATAAACTTGTCATTTTGTGGTT